AAAATAAAGTCGATGCATTTTATGACCATGCCACAGGCCTAATATGGGACCGTTCCATACATACAACTTATGCATGGCATGTACTTGATTCAGACGCGCGAGATTGGTGTTCCAAAACATCCCTGCGTGCTATATTTCATTGCTGAACCACGCGTAATGCATCATAATACTGCATATTCTCGTGCTCTATTTTAAACATACAACAACCTGAATATCAGGATCTCTGGGAGAAAAAAGGAGTCTTAAAAAAGGGACAGGAAGCCCGACAAAAGGGGGGAGGGGCTGCGAAGGAGACTAGGGAGGCTGAGGCTCGGTTTAAACACGCACTCGCTCAGTTTTAAAATGAAAAGGTAAATTACCATTTTTTCGATATTTTTTGTTATTACCTGTTTATATTGATATGTCAAGTTTAGTCATGTTCTTTGCAGATTCATCATGAGTAGATTCAGTCGGAATATGTGAAATGAAATCTCATTATTTTGTTTCGGCGTCTATTTTAATGTTATGACTGTCAATTTCGTTTCAAGGGTTAATAAACAACTTTGAACACTTAGGAAATCTGTTAAATTTATAGCTGACACATTGTCATTAAAAAAACGTTTGTACCGTGACTGAGCTAGTAACATTTGGCAAGAGTAGCCGATGGGTTCCTGAGACAAATATATCTGTTCTTATGTCCCAGCCAGCTTAAGTAATAACTGGTTGCCAGCAAAGTTATAATACATTAATAGGCTGTAGGAATTTTCCCAGGAAACTCTTCACGACCTTTGCAAGAAGGAAAATCCCGAATGTCTTTTAAATACTCACAAGTGCTTTAACGGCCGTAACTAGATTTTTTTCCAGGAGCGTAGCGTCGTCCTTTACGCATATAGGCACGTGCGTACTAGGTGCAAAGAAATATKAAAATTTTCACACAAATTTCTGAAAAATTCACATAAATTTGATCCCTTTAATATGCCTTCGATGTCTCCCAAAACGCTGGAAATCGCATTTCCAAGAGTAATTCAGTTAGAACAGACCTGGCCTGCTTCTCTTGCTGATTTGGCACTTCCTCAGGCTTAAAGGGACACTGTCAATGGATTACATGCACAATAACAGTCTTGCCTCTAACGGACTTGGAAAGTATTACCTTCGAGGTAAATCAATGTTTTGACACACTTTGGAATATTCTAGATCTGTTTACGTTTACGAGTACTTTTTTTGTCATGCGTCGCGCCTTGGAGTCGTAAACTTGAATCTTTTCAAGTTTACTCGCGCATGCGTGCCATTGATTTAATCTATGAAAAGTGGTAAAAAGTCATAAGAGTTAAGAACAGTGTAAACTCGTCATGAAGCGAGACATCTAGAAAAGAAGAGAAAATCTCTGGAACCAGGTTTCCCATCGGGCTCTGTCATTTGATAATCTGTAAAAATTAAATGGTCACGTGATTTAGGGCATTTCCAGSTTGTACGCGCCCAGAGGATGCTGGGGCGATTCTAATTTCGCAAGGTTCACTTGAATATAAATATGTGATCTGTTTATTGAYTTTTTGGCTATAAACCGTGATGACCAACAGTATTAAGATGGCAAAGTTTGAACTTTTATCCGTTTGCAGCTTCAGACTACGTTCTGTAAAGTTATCACTGGCGTCCCCACTCCAACAATGAGCTAAAGCAATGTGTTCTTCTGAAGTTGTGTTATTAAGTATACCTTTGTTCATCAAATGTAATACAGTGMTGTTTACTTTATCTTTAAGACTTCCAACAGAGCAGTTTACCCATTTTGTGTAGATGGCTGTGGGTCAGTGTCAAAACATGATAACTGAAGCGTAACACTGGTGAGTTTTTAGCGGGCTAGCCAAAGGCTGGACCGGCTTTAGTTCTACCTCTTCGCCAATCTATGTATCTATCTTATGCTCACTGAACAAAAGAAATGAGTTAGTTTCCGCCTGAAGGCATAAACACAAATCATTACAATGCGACACGCATAATGATATAAATAGTTCATAAACTCCTAAAAGGCGGCTAAATATTATAAATAAATACTATTTTGGGCCCACTTAAAAAGCCTAATTACTGAGCATCANTAACGGCCGTAACTAGATTTTTTTCCAGGAGCGTAGCGTCGTCCTTTACGCATATAGGCACGTGCGTTTTTTTTGCAAAGAAATATKAAAATTTTCACACAAATTTCTGAAAAATTTTTTTTAATTTGATCCCTTTAATATGCCTTCGATGTCTCCCAAAACGCTTTTTTTCGCATTTCCAAGAGTAATTCAGTTAGAACAGACCTGGCCTGCTTTTTTTGCTGATTTGGCACTTCCTCAGGCTTAAAGGGACACTGTCAATTTTTTTTATGCACAATAACAGTCTTGCCTCTAACGGACTTGGAAAGTATTTTTTTTGAGGTAAATCAATGTTTTGACACACTTTGGAATATTCTAGATTTTTTTTCGTTTACGAGTACTTTTTTTGTCATGCGTCGCGCCTTGGAGTTTTTTTTTTGAATCTTTTCAAGTTTACTCGCGCATGCGTGCCATTGATTTTTTTTTTGAAAAGTGGTAAAAAGTCATAAGAGTTAAGAACAGTGTAAATTTTTTTTGAAGCGAGACATCTAGAAAAGAAGAGAAAATCTCTGGAAACTTTTTTTCCATCGGGCTCTGTCATTTAATCTGTAAAAATTAAATGGTCACGTGATTTAGGGCATTTCCAGGTTGTACGCGCCCAGAGGATGCTGGGGCGATTCTAATTTCGCAAGGTTCACTTGAACATATAAATATGTGATCTGTTTATTGACTTTTTGGCTATAAACCGTGATGACCAACAGTATTAAGATGGCAAAGTTTAAACTTTTATCCGTTTGCAGCTTCAGACTACGTTCTGTAAATAGTAAAGTTATCACTGGCGTCCCCACTCCAACAATGAGCTAAAGCAATGTGTTCTTCTGAAGTTGTGTTATTAAGTATACCTTTGTTCATCAAATGTAATACAGTGATGTTTACTTTATCTTTAAGACTTCCAACAGAGCAGTTTACCCATTTAGAGTAGTAGATGGCTGTGGGTCAGTGTCAAAACATGATGACTGAAGCGTAACACTGGTGAGTTTTTAGCGGGCTAGCCAAAGGCTGGACCGGCTTTAGTTCTACCTCTTCGCCAATCTATGTATCTATCTTATGCTCACTGAACAAAAGAAATGAGTTAGTTTCCGCCTGMAGGCATAAACACAAATCATTACAATGCGACACGCATAATGATATAAATAGTTCATAAACTCCTAAAATTTTTTTAAATATTATAAATAAATACTATTTTGGGCCCACTTAAAAAGCCTAATTACTGAGCATCATGGGATATGTAATTTGATAAAACATATATCAGGTTATATCAGAGGATTCTGCACGTGTAGTTCAGACAGTTATTTTACAAGTTTTTTTCATGAGTKGTGGAAGCRTTTTTATCTGTTSATACTTGGCTCATTTTTTTGGCCGGTCAACGGACAATGACCGGCCAAAATTCGCACTTGTCTTTTTTTACTTCATTTTGTTACCTTATTTCCAGTTACTTCTACCTTATTTTTTTTTACCTTTACCTTGTTTCCATTTACTTCTAGCTTTTTCTAACTATTTTTTTCTAATGATAATCAAAGTATTAGAAATAATCAATTTAATATATTTTTTTTAATTTAGTGAAAAAAGGTATTTGATACATGAGGAAAGCACAATTTTTTCAGCCTTGCTCGAACCTGGGAACTTGGGATCCATGGCCCCTTGGGATTGCTTTTAACTGTGCAACGTGAAAAATAAAATAAAATGAAATAAAATAAAAATAAAGTCGATGCATTTTATGACCATGCCACAGGCCTAATATGGGACCGTTCCATACATACAACTTATGCATGGCATGTACTTGATTCAGACGCGCGAGATTGGTGTTCCAAAACATCCCTGCGTGCTATTATTTCATTGCTGAAAACCACGCGTAATGCATCATAATACTGCATATATGAAGAGCTCACGTTGAAAATCGTTTTTTATACCTATTCTACTTTGAATGTATCTTTGTTCAATTCTCGTGCTCTATTTTAAACATACAACAACCTGAATATCAGGATCTCTGGGAGAAAAAAGGGAGTCTTAAAAAAGGGACAGGAAGCCCGACAAAAGGGGGAGGCTGCGAAGGAGACTAGGGAGGCTGAGGTAGCCTCCTCCACAGGCAACTCTTTTTTCCTCCTTTGGGCTTCTTTTGTAACGGTCATTTTGGCCGTTAGGGACTAGTGACGAGATAGCAAAAAATAAAAAGAGGAGGCTCCCCTTTTCTCGCCCCCATTCTCCCTCTTTTGACTCCTCAAAAAGACAGGAAGCCTATGGGCGGCCGTCACCACCAAAAATACATTTTTATTAAATAGAGTAGCGATCTCTGCTAAAAGATGCAGCGAAACATCAATTTAACCAGCTATCCGTGTTAAACGATCCAGCGAAATACTGGTTTGTCCAGCTATCAGTGTTAAACGATCCAGCGAAATACTGGTTTGTCCAGCTATCTGTGTTAAACGATCCAGTGAAATAACGATTTGTCCAGCTATCTGTATTAAACGGTGCAGCGAAACATCAATTTAACCAGCTATCTATGTTAAACGATCCAGCGAAATAATGATTTGTCCAGCTAATTCTGTTAAACGATCTAGCGAAATGCTTATTTGTCCAGCTATCTCTGTTAATCGATCTAGCAAAATACCGATTTAAACAGCTAGCTATGTAGCCATCTAGCGAAACACCGATTTAAACAGCTATCTATCTGACGATCCAGCGAAACAGCGCTTTGATTAGCCATCAGTATCAAACGATCCAGCGAAACATTGATTTGTCCAGCTATCAGTGTTAAACGATCCAGCGAAACACTGATCTCCCACAGAGTTTGCGCCATCACCACCAAAAATACATCCTTGACGAATGGTGCAGCTATCTGTCGAATAGTGCAGCTATCTATGTTAACTACGAGCCCTCCCGCTGAGATTCCAAAAATATCACAGGGGGATTGGATTCTAGTATGAAATATGATGCACTGGCCACATCATCACTTCTTGACCTCGTGCTCCGTACAGCGGGTAAGGAATTCAATTCAATTTACCAATATTTACCTCTGTTTATAATGCTACATTTATCAATTTACAATTTTTCTTATGTGTAACCAATTCACCTTTTCACTAGATTATCCCCCAGCTCTTTACTACACTATTATCTGCATTATGAGCACGTTTTTTTCTATTAATATGTGACCTATGTTCTTTAGCAATATAGCAAAATATATGGAATTCCACTTTGTGTGTAGTTTCTTTTCRGTTTTAGTCCACTTTCTTCCACTCTGAGTGATTTTTGGCTGTTGAATCACGCAATTTAGGAGGAAATGCTCTGAAACTTTACAAAATTAATTGACAAAAATACTTAATTACTCTGCGAGGACAGTTATATAGCCGACTTTAAATATTAGTACAGAAATCGATTAAATAATACGTGTAAGATTTCCTCTTGAAATATGACTTTTAACTGAGGAGATAAGTCACTTTTTTTCAACCATTTTAATTCTATTTTCCACTTCACTTCACGTTATTTTTAGTTTTTCTCTCCAACTTGAAGAGTACATTGTGTACTTTTTATATGGCTTTATTGACCATATGAAAAAGGAGCAGAAGAGTGGGAATGAGCAGCTTAGACGGTCCATGTTTTTAAAACTCTATTTTCATGTTAAGAAACGTATATTTAAACTAGTGAATTGGCGTATTTTTAGTTTCAAATCGTAATATCGGTAGAGCTATGAGGACTTAAAACGTACCAATTAAACGAGGCTTGTAAGGCCTCTATATACTGATTTTCACAACTCAATTCTCAATATTTTACATTGAAATTAGCTCTTCCTCTTTTTTCACTTGGTACAGTATGTATTCAGTATTTAAATATTCAATACTTGACTTGATTAATGCAGATTCCAAGATACCATTTACCAATGTCNTTCCTCTTGAAATATGACTTTTAACTGAGGAGATAAGTCACTTTTTTTCAACCATTTTAATTCTATTTTCCACTTCACTTCACGTTATTTTTAGTTTTTCTCTCCAACTTGAAGAGTACATTGTGTACTTTTTATATGGCTTTATTGACCATATGAAAAAGGAGCAGAAGAGTGGGAATGAGCAGCTTAGACGGTCCATGTTTTTAAAACTCTATTTTCATGTTAAGAAACGTATATTTAAACTAGTGAATTGGCGTATTTTTAGTTTCAAATCGTAATATCGGTAGAGCTATGAGGACTTAAAACGTACCAATTAAACGAGGCTTGTAAGGCCTCTATATACTGATTTTCACAACTCAATTCTCAATATTTTACATTGAAATTAGCTCTTCCTCTTTTTTCACTTGGTACAGTATGTATTCAGTATTTAAATATTCAATACTTGACTTGATTAATGCAGATTCCAAGATACCATTTACCAATGTCTAGCGATAATGAACAATTCCGCGATGCATTGGAGAATACGTGTCAGCGACTGAGGGATTGTCGCACAAGTGATACTCCAGCTCTTGGTACAATCGCAATCACCCTTGAAATCTTAGTTGAGTCCGCTCTTCTAAATGGTGGGGTACCATTGCAAGTTTGCGATTTAATAAATGAAGCTCGTCAGCTCTTACAGAGGGAAAATGAACGTGATCCAAATTCAACATGTGCCACTGAGGAGAGTTACCAGGCCCCGATTATAAGTTCAGGGGGACGCAGAGGAAGGCCAAGATTCTCGATATCATGCGAGCAGCTCACGTTTGCCCTGAACATTCCATTTTATTATATAGATGATTTCTAACACGCGTTCTGATTGGCCAAAAAGGTGTGGTTTATGAGAGTATAAACCACGGCTGAGCCTTATTTATTTGTTAAGTAAATGCTATAAATAATTCCAGTTATGAAATAAAGTTTTGTTTTTAATTATTATTATTTTTTTTTTACAGAAAACGACTTTACCAACAAAGATATAGCCTTAATGCTTGGAGTTAGTAAGAGAACGATAGAGAACAGAATGAGGGAATATGAACTCACCAATACATCTAGATATAGTGACATACATGATGACATACTTGATGCACACGTTCAGCGTATATTAACAAATTTTCCTCGTTCAGGTGTGATACTATTCTACATTCCGAAATTCAAAAAGGGACTGGTGACTAGTCACAAACTCGATACCGGAGCGCTTGAAGCAATGAAAAATCAGACAGGAAAAGAACGAGCTCATGTAAAGTTGCTGAGTTTGAGCTTATTCGAATTAATAATTACAAAGTAGCAAGCGTTTAAAACTATATAAAATCACAATGAGTGTATGTATTCCCAAAAATCCATACATTCTCTCTTATTTTTACAAATTTCAGAAAATTCCTACTAGGTAAGTATTCAACAAAATAGTCTCAAACTTTAAAAATTAAACGACACTTACCTGTAAGTGGAAGTTTGATTGTAATTYTACCGATATAACACKTGACTGAGAGATTACATGAGATATTGCGTCACACAACTGCCGGTCACTATTTAAAGGAAGGGTTGGTGTGACAACAAATTGTACACCCCCTATCTGAATGTAATTTTTATCTTTTATTGATCTATTGAAAATGTCTGGGAGTGGAGGGAGGGCATGTAATCTCTCAGTCACGTGTTATATCGGTAGAATTACAATCAAACTTCCACTTACAGGTAAGTGTCGTTTAATTTTTAAATTCTACCTCACTATCACGTGACTGGAGATCACATGAGATTTCAAAGCCAATGAAGTTGGCACACCAACTACAAATAACAAAGTAAATAAGTAACTTTATTATCTGAAACAACTTTAACCAATAATTTAATTAGCAACAGCATTCAAAACTGCTTCCTGGAAATGGTCTGGTTCATTTTGTAAAGGTCGATTATAATATGTTGCAAATGTTTTTTCTGATGCCCAACCAGCTTTGTCAAGGATTTCCNGCTATTATATTGGTTTCATCCTCCTTAGAGGTTGATTATTTAGGAATATATTTATCCAAACTTTTTAAATTAAAAAATAAACAAAGTGCTGTAAACCATGTCTGAAGTCTGGTGTAGTCGTGCCATCAGGCAATCATAGCACTGTTGAAAAAAAATCATCAAGCATTTTGACATCATGAAATAAAGTTGTCGGAGATATAATTAACATCAATCAGACTGAGGCACTATACAGACATTTCCCAAAACTTCTATCAGAAGGTGATTAAAATATTCTGTTAAGAATTACTATATATATTTTATTTTAAGTTGAGCACTATGAAAAATTATTCTTCAATATTAAGTTTGTGTATATATATTTTTAGATATAAATTCACTATAAAGCTCACCTTTCAAATTGTGTCATCTAGGGTAGATTCAGACTGTGCAGTAGAAGTCACTGTATTGYGATCATAGACAGGTACTAAACACACACAATAGCAAAAAAAATCAGTAATCATGGCAAAATTTCTWGTACAATCAGGAAATTAAGTTACAAGTAATGTCTAATTTTGCGGCCTATTTGAATTTCAGAAAAATCTAAAAGTATGCAGGAATAAATAATTGTATGTTGCCTAATTATCTTTCTTTATGGTATTATACACCCTTTTAATAAGTCACGAGGTATTGTGTTCTCCGCACTTGACGTCAAATTTATTCTTTTGAAATTTTTACAATACAAAAGAAATTTGATGTCAATTGCGGAGAACACAATACCTCGGGACTTATTAAAAAGGGTGTATACAATGTCAGGAAAGTCAATATTTATAATATATATATATATTTTAATTTTGAAGTCAAATTGTCAAATAATTGAATGATATTTGATGATTTTATTAGCTGCCTGTGCATGTACAAGTGATTAAAAACTCTTTTGTAAAATGTATTTGGTCAATTCCACATGAGACATAGGAAAAACCTGAATTTCAAAAACCTTTAATTCATTACCAAAACCATATTGCCATATTGCCATAATGCTGAATTAATATAAATCATAGTTTTTTTGGCTATGCTGGCCACGCCCACTTTGCAGCAGGGCATCAAACACGGCATAAGCATAGTGAGCATCTTGTGTCATTTAGATGGTAGTTTATATCTGAGTATAAATATGGACTGAAAATATATCTAGAAGTGGAAGTACAAATTTTAAGTACTAGAGACTCCAATAATCATTTTGCAATTGGCAAATTTTCTTTATACCAATTCTCTTTGATTATTCAGGACTCAAAACTTTGGTAAACATAAGGGTAATGTCCGTGACAAAAACTCCTTTTAATCTCATTTGCAACTCAACCATAAATCCTGGCATCATGAAATTGATTTTCCTTTTTTAGATTAACATGTGAACTAATATTCCAAAAGAAAACTGATAAAAAATTAATTATTTTCCAAGATATGCTGTCACGGACATTACCGTCACGGACATTACCATTCTTGAGATGATGCCAAATAATGCATCTTTTAAAGAAACAACTTGATTGATAGGAAAATATTATCAAACCATAATAATATTATTTGAAAACTGCAATTTAAGTTTGTTTGAACAATGAAACTGAAACAAAAAGTCTATAAAAAAGGAGGCATTTCTTTGAGTCTCGTACACTGTTTGTATCAATGGATCGAGTTATMAATTTTTTCAATCTCATGCCTCTTGGGGATAGTGAACGRTCCACACTGATCTAACTTGACTGGCCCATAGAAAATGCTTGAGATATAGACAACATCTATATCATCACGTATGGGCCAATCAWATTTACCAGCTCCTGCATTGTGCAAAAACTTCACTTGWACACRGTTGATATCAGGCATACTTAGCGCTCTACCAATATAGTACTTSTTGTCATAGTGTACTGCGTAGTATTGTTCTATGGCAATTCCTCCCACAGGTACATCAATAACGACTCCTCTGTGGATGCTTAGTAA